CTTGTTCAAAATTCCCCTCACCCTAGGTTTATCCTTGAGATACAGGATGAGAGTTCCCATCAGGAAGATGATAAGAAGAATGGCAGCGATGCAGCAGAAGCCTCCTACCAACCACACCCATGGTTTTGTCCGTCCGGAGCTCGAGAGAATTATTGTAGGTGGTCGAGTTGAGAGGCTTTGAGGTGGAGTTGCAAGACTTTGATGAGACGGTGGAGTTTCATAATCCGACACAATCTCGCTAGGAGAGANTTGTGTTGGAAGAGTACCTTCCGGGGTAAANCAAGTCTCCNGTAAAGAAAGAANGTGAGACATGGCGGTGAAGACGGAGGAAGAGATTTGATTTAATTGTGGAAATGTAACTGGTCACATGAACATATAAAGAGATTGTAAATAATTTTGAAATAACCTTTTTAATTAATAGATTCCCACGCNTCATCAAACTTATTATTCTTATAAGATTTTGACACGCGTCCAAGCGCAGAATAAATAATTAGGTTGACTAATCGATTTTAACATATATATTTTTAAATATTTAAACGTGTATGANAAATCATATGATTTTCAATATCTACAAACTTACCAAAAGGATATGTATATGTATTATGATATTTTAATGTGTAAAAATGATCAAAACATATACAAATATTATTTATTTATCTTTAAGTATAAATATCTCATTATATCTTAATTAAGCTTTATATTTTTTGTTAAGATTTAGAAAAATGATCAAAACATTAAGCCTTTGAATCTTCGTTTGATTAAATTTATTTTGTGTTTTGCTTATATCTTACTTATGTTTTGCATGGAAAAACAGATGATTCCAATTTTATTTCAATTAGAAAAAACTGTGAAAATTTAAGTAGAAAAATACATGATTTATATGATTTGTCAGTAAACAAAAATAAACCATGATTTGCTTATATGATTTATCATGATCAACTAATGTTTTGCTTACGTTATATATATATGTCATGTTAAATTTTTAATCATTTTCTAATCTATCTTTATAGTATGATTACTTCTCATTTTCTTTTTTCATTTATCTTCGTCTCATGAGTTTATATATATTTTGATTTTTGTTCACCGTAGAGAAATATTTGAGATTTTATGATATTATATTTTAAAAGTTGGTCTTTCTAGTAGGTTTAAAAATAAAAAAGTTAAGATAATATGTGGTTAAACAAAATGAAATTAATTGAATGTAAGAATATATTTTTATTGAAATACAAATCTTTTAATAAGAAATAGACCGTTCAAGTTTCATAAAATAAATAGATCTTAGAAAATAGAGAATTTTTTTTTCTAACATTTTAGAAATATGATTACATCAACTGATTTTTACTAATTATTTTAACTACAAATTATAAACACGTTTTTAGTTTTTTA